GCCACTGACTTGGAATAGTCACACAGAGCATGGGGACATCCACTGACATGGAATATCAGCACAGAGAGCACAGGAACATCCATTGGCTTGGAATATCGACACAGAGAGTACAGGGACATCCACTGACATGGAATATCAACACAGAAAGCACAGCAACATCCACTGGCTTGGAACAGTCACACACAGAGCACAGGAATATCCACTGACTTGGAATATTGACACAGAGAGCACAACAACATCAAAGGACTGGGAATATTGACAGAGGAACATCCACTGCCATGGAATATTGACAGAGGAACATCCACTGCCATGGAATATTGACAGAGGAACATCCACTGCCATGGAATATCGACACACAGAGAGCACAGGAATATCCACTGACTTGGAATATCAACACACAGAGCACAGGAACAATCACTGACATGGAATATCAGCACTCAGGGTCATAAATATCCTGTGCTGGAATTAAATGGATGAGACTCATACTTCCAGTGCCTAAAGGGGCTCCAAGAGAGCTGGAGAGGGACTTGGGACAAGGGATGGAGGGACAGGACAAGGGGGAATGGCTTCCCACTGCCAGAGGGCAGGGTTAGGTGGGATACTGGGAAGGAATTCCTCCCTGGGAGGGTGGGGAGAGGGACTGGGATGGATTTCCCGGAGAAGCTGTGGCTGCCCCATCCCTGGAAGTGTCCAAGGCCAGATTGGAGCAACCCGGGATAGTGGAAGGTGTCCCTGGCAGGGGGTGGCACTGGATGGGCTTTAAAGTCCCTTCCAACCCAAACCACTCCTTGATTCTGTGATATCCCAATGGTCTCTCCATTCCAAGTCTCCACCTTTCCAGGGAAAGGGCAGTCCCAAAAGGGTGACGGGCAAACAGGATGGAAAAGAAGCATCACGTGCAGACACAAAGCACTTGTAGCACCTCATCCACAGCTCCAGCTCAGCAGCATTCACAGCTGCTGATATTTGGGAACGTGGAACACACAGCAAGAATCTTTCTGTGTGCTGAAATCTAATTGATTAAGAAAAATTTATTTTCCTGCTCATCCCTGTTTCACATCCAGGAGCAGAAAATCCACACGAGGCTCTTACCGTCGAGAGAGGGAAAAAAAAAAATTAAAAATAAATCCATCCCTGCAAGTCATCCCCACTGGCAGCTCCGAGGCAGCTTGGAGCCAGTGCCTGGGTGCAAAGGGGATCTTATTTTTAAATAGCCCCCAGTCTAACTATAACTGGACTTGACTAACCATTCCCAAAATACGAGAGCAGCTCAGAGCTGAGCGCTCAAGTGCAGTGTGGGGCCTTCCCTGACACTCCCACCCACTCCCTGAATTTTGGGCATCAATTTTCTTCTTGCAGGTGCTCTGTTATAGGAATTCTTCAAGGCCAGGTTTGGACAGGGCTTGGAACAACCTGCTCCAGTGGGAGGTGTCCCTGCCCATGGCAGGGGGTGGCACTGGATGGGCTTTAAGGTCCCTTCCAGCCCAATCCATTCTGGATTCACTCTCAGTGGGTGACTCCAGTTTGGCTTTAATTTCCCATCAGCCTGCACCAAATCCCAGCTGCACTGAAGTGGTTTCACCCCTGTTTACCCCCAGAGGAGGTGGGTGGATCAACACCAGTTTTTGGACAGAGCTTTGCAGGCAGAAAGGGATTTTTTTGAACCCCCAAAAACGCACTAAAATAAAACAGGGAGGGACAGGACACAGGGAATGGCTTCCCACTGCCAGAGGGCAGGGATAGATGGGATACTGGGAAGGAATTCCAGGCTGTGAGGGTGGGGAGGGACTGGGATGGATTTCCCAGAGAAGCTTTGGCTGCCCCATCCCTGGAATTTGTAGGATCTGAAACGTCTTTCCCTGCAAGTCTCTGCATCTCCACGTGCTTGGGGAGCACAGGCTGGAGCTGAGAGGCCACCAAGTCCTTGAGAGGATGAGGAGGTCTCTGCTTCTCCCTCTTCCAAAGTCCTGGGCTCACCCCAAAACAAACCAGGGTGGAAACACAGAGCGAAGCCACGAGCAAACCATCCCCACCCCGGTTCTGTTTTGTTGAACCCAAATGCCCCCCCTCCCAAAAAAACCCATCTGAGAGGAACTTACAGACATGTAGGACCGAGTTCCCACAAAGGAGTTGGCCATGGAGTCGATGAGCTGCCCGCTGACCCCGAAATCACAGAGCTTGATCTCCCCTCGGGAATTCACCAGGATGTTGGAAGGCTTCACATCTGGGGACAGATGCCAGGGAGGGCAGAGTGAACGGGGTGACACCCCCGGGGCTCCTGCACTGCAGGGCAGCTATTTTTAGGTTCTTCTCCTCTCACCTCTGTGCATGATCTGGTGCTTCTCCCGCAGATACGCCAAGCCTCGTAAAACCTGGGAGGAATCCAGAGGCTGGATGAGATCAGAGCTGGGAAGGGAAGAGCTTTCCCTCCCTCAGGACACGCTGCAGGGTGAGGAAACTGCCCCGTGGTGCACACAGGTTTCAGGGTTTGCAGTTTATCACACAGAGCCCAGCGCAGAGCTTGGTTTAACCACCCAAAAAAGCTTCTCCTGACCCCCTCTTGAGGAGAATCCAACACCACCCAGAGGAACCCAAAGGGCTTGGAGCTGGGAAAAGTGCTTGGGAATATGCTTTGCCCTCCCCTCTGGCACACACACCGGCCTCTTGCCCCAGGTCAGGATTGGGAAGTGCATGTGGGGAAATGCAAAGAGCTTCTCCAGGCAAACCCAGCATTCCCAGGAAATCCTCCCTGGAGGCCTGAGGAGCCACCACAACTCACCGCTATACTGACTTTGCCCAAGATTTCCTCGGGAATTCTTTTGGCTTCTTTCAACACTTGATCCAAAGAGCCGCCATCCTAAAACGGGAGAACGTTGGGAATGACCCACAGGCCAATTCCCAGCAGGAAAACAAGAGCTGTGCAGTGGTGGATAAGCAGCACGGAGCATCCTCAGCACTGAGAGATTTCTGAAATCTCCTTTGAGAGACTTCTGCTGATCTGAGCTCGACTTTATCACCGAAACCCATTTTTAATGCTGGTTTTCTACCAGCTCCGTTGGTTCTTTGTGTGGAAACGCAGGGATGATGCTGCTGGTGCTGATTTGGAGGAGAAACAGTGTTATTTGCCACCAGGAACAGCAGAATGTGCTCACTGAGCTTCTCAGCAGGCTCTGGAGGGCGGTGGGTTGGCAACATTTCCGTTTGGCCAACCCCCAAACCTCTGCTTCCTCTTCCCCAAAAGTCGCTCTCTCTCTCTCTCTCTCTCCCTCGATTCGAGGCCTGAGCAGAAGTTTGTGGCTCCCACCAGGAGCAGAGCAAGGAGCCAGCACAGCTGCCAGTGCCCCAAGCTGGCAGGGGAGATGGAATTTGGAAGGATAAAAGGGGAGGAGCTGCTCTCACCATGTGCTCCATGCAGATGGAGATCTCCCCGTCGCTGTAGAAGGCCCCGTAGAACCCCACGATGTAGGGGGAGTTACACTCGTGCAGCACCTGCAGCTCCCTGATGATCTGGTTCCTGATGGCAGGTTTGATTTCCAGGTGAATCAGCTGCCAAGAAAGAAAAAAAAGGCAGGGAGTCAGGGTGGAACACCTGGGAAAAAAAAAGAACAACTCACGGGAAGCGCGTGAGCAAGTCCTGGGTGCTGGGGAGAAGTAAAATCAAGGGAAGCTCTGCTTTGGAACAGAATTTATCCCACCTGCAGGTTAATATTGAGGATAAAGTGACAGCTCAAAGGGGAATGACTTCAAATGACATGGCAGAGGGCAGGGTTAGGTGGGATACTGGGAAGGAATTCCACCCTGGGAGGGTGGGGAGGGGCTGGGATGGATTTCCCAGAGAAGCTGTGGCTGCCCCATCCCTGGAGGTGTCCAAGGCCAGGTTGGAGCAACCTGGGAGAGTGGAAATGTCCCTGCCCGTGGCAAGGGGTGGAATGAAACAATCTTTAAGGTGCCTTCCAACCCAAGGCAGGCTGTGATTCCATGATGAAGGCAGAGGGAGAGCCCTGTGCTCCCTTGTCAGCGAGGGAAGGCCACGACCGCGCCGGGATTGCGCCGGACGGGAGCGGAAAGACGAGTCACAGGTTTGATCTCAGCAGCTCTGACTCAGCACACACAGGACCATTTTCACAAGCTCTTGTAGGTGTTGTAAGAAGGTGCTCTGAGATCAAGGAAACCACAGGAAAAAGAAAAAAAAACAACAACCCCAACCACGTGAAGGTTCTGCACGAGAACGAGCGGCCGCTCCTGGGGTCTGTTAACGCGGCTGTGGGGAGGGAAACCCCCTGGTCTGGTGGGAGGTGTCCCTGCCCATGGCAGGGGGGTGGAACTGGGTGAGCTTTAAGGTCCCTTCCAACCCAAATCATGCTCTGATTCCATGATCCCAACAGCAGGAGGGAGCAGAGGCTCTGGAGCAGTTGTGCTGCTCCCGCCGAGCCTCTTCCAACAGGCACACGAAGCATCTCCTGCTTTTCTACTGCAGCAGAAGATGCTCCCCATAAATCCAAGTCTGAGAGGAATCAGTCACTGCTTGGAATGACCTTTGGGATCTGTTAAGTGGGTGGTGAGGGGTGAGGAACATGTATCCCAAAGCCATCCCTCCCTCTGCCACTTCCAGCCCTCCTCAGCCACGACCCTCAAGGGATCTCCTGCCAACTGCTTCTGGCCAGTTTATCCATCAAAACCAGCTTGACTGGGAAAAAAAAATAACCTCATGTGTTCACACCAGGGTGTCCAAACCCCAGGGATCTGTCACAGAGGCCTCTCCCAAAAGAGGACTCGGAGACAGGATCCATGTAAAACCCACCTGGGGGCTGCCAGGACCGTGCTCCTGACCCAGGCGAGGGTGCAAACAGGGAGAATCCAACCAAAACAGGGAGAATCCAACCAAAACAGGGAGAATCCAACCAAAACCAGCCCTCCCAGAGCCAGGGAGGGCTCCAGACACTGCCCAGCCCCTCGTTACCTTCCGTGCCATGATGAGCCCTGAGGGTTTGTGCTGCACTTTGGTGACCACGCCGCCGTTTCCAGCCCCCAGCTCGGAGATCCTCTCGAAGTCATCGTCCTTGAGCTCTCCCACTTTGGCTTTCTGGGTGAGGAAAGCTTCCAGGCGCTTCTTCTGCTGCTCATCCAGCTCCAGCTCCTCCAGCTTCTTCTGCAGGTCCACCAGGTTCGCCCTGAGGAGAGGAGGAGGAGATGGGAGCACGCTGAGCAACGGGGAAAGGTTTCATTTTTTTAGGGGAAATGCCTTAAAACCATCCCCTGACACGCCCTGAGCCCCCTGGCAGAGCAGCAGGGCTAAAGCAAAGCTCCAGGGAGAGGCAGAGACCGGTTCCAATCCCTGCCCAACACACACATCTCCTCTGGAGAGGAGCTTTGGAGCAGTCAGCTGTTCTGGGAGAGCCCAAGGAGTAGGGAAAATCCTTCAATCCTTAAAGAGGCAGCACAGCAACCGCTCCCTGTCCCGGGAAGCCAAGCTTGGGTTTCGCTGAGAAACACGAGAAGGGTTTTCCATGGGGTCCAGCAGCTCCCCCAGCCCCAAATCCCGAGCACAAAGGGGTGGCTGTGCTCCCCCAGCACCTGCTGAGGGCTCCAGCTGCTCTCTCCCAGTTGCTGCCCACCCCCTTGTCCCCCCCTCACCCACGGGAGGGTCTCACCCCATCCCTCCCACCCAGTGCTCTGATAGGAGGCTCTGCTGTCCTCTCTCCACATGTCCTGTCTGTTGAGGCCCCATTAATGGCCCAAATCCCCCCCTCCAAACCCCAGGACCCCATCCCAGCTCCCACCCGTGTCCCCCGGCCGCCCCCCCGCCCCCCCCCGGCCCCAGGTACCCCCCAGCAAGCCCAGGGACCAGCCCAGCCTCCCCCCTGCCTGCCCCCAGCCCATCCCTTCAGCTCTGGCTCCCTGATCCCTCACCCAGCCCCAGACCCTCCTCGGGCTGGGCCCATCCAGCCCCTCCAGGCCTGTCCCAAATCCCCCAGGCCTTCCTGATCCCCCTGACCCTGTCCCAGGCCCCCTCAAGCCTGTCCCAGCCCCCCAGACCTGTCCCCAGCCCCCCAAGCCTGTTCCCTGCTCGCCCCCAGACCCGTCCCACCCCCCCACCGGCCCCGTACCCGCCCTGTCCCGGCCCCCCCGGCCTAGTGCCCGCTCCGCTGCGGTCTCCCCAGCCCGCCCTGCTCCGGCTCCCCCCAGCCCCCGTCCCCTCCCTATCCCGGTGTGTCCCCCTCAGGGCGCTGCGTCCCCCTCAGGCCCAGTGTCCCCCCCCCCCC